TCCGTTTGAGTTTAATTTCGTTCTTTTCATTCTCACTCCTTGTGGAATGAACATTTTCCAAACAAAAAGGGCGTTTCCTCAATGCCACGTGTGTAAAATGGCTGCTCAAAACGAAAATAAAAATGAACGAAAATTTCTAGAACGAACATTTTCCCAGACAAAATATACCCGCTATACAGTAAGCATGCAAATACTGAAGAAAATTGCCAAATTTCCCCTCCAAAATTATCAGTTATGTAGTTACTATAGTATACAGTGTGTGTGTGTGTGTGTGTGTACATTGTCAGTTTGGTTGTGTTTAGCCCAACAGGAATGAGTATATAAATATATAGGAAAATCTCAGTATTAACAATGATAATAATAACAACAATTAATAAAAAGCAATTATATTAATTTGAATGATGGTCACACATGTAATTATAATCACTGTTAGATCTAGAGGGAGTTTAGGAGGCTTTGGTCTCCCATATTTGGTCTAGGCCTCCTGAAGAAAATTCAGACAGCAAGTGTGTGCCACCACTATTACACACACACTCTCGCTGTCAGTACACCATAAAATATTAGCACAAATCAGGTACATGTACATGTAAAGGAAAGCCACAGATGTACCATTGTACTATATAGTATAGACACACATGTACACATACAATGTATATACATGTAATACACAGTACACATGAATGAATGACCACATAACTTAGATTCTAGTTATCAACAGAAGGTGGTTGTTGGTTTAGAAGCTATCATGTATCGATTTCTAGGAAAGATTAGCATCTGGTGACTAAAAACACTCCCACCTAACAATCTCATCATCCTGATTCACCCACAACCAATTATCAGTATATACTAGTGAACAATAAAGAAAAATAACAATAAATTTCAGTCACTTATAAATTTGATCTCTACATTACAATATAACTTATACCACACTCATTCTAACAATGAATGTCCCTATAAACTATCAATAACTCATAATAATAGAGACAAATACAGTTACATGTATTTAGCTGTGGATGAAACAGCAAATCAAATACTCTAAAGAACCTTTAACATAATCATGCACATGAATCTTATCACGTCTACATCAAAAAGGGGGCAGGCAGTCGTATGTACAATGCAATTGCTGTTCATTATAAGAATTAACAATTTACTATTGAATTGTAACCACTAACCAGGCCTCAGTATACTAAGGATATGCTGCTCAGTATACAGCAGTATACTCTCCCAATGCCAAAAAACAGAGAAATAAAATACCGTATAGCGGGAAATTTTCGTGGCCCAAAATTTTTGTGGATTTTGCATTTTTTTCTAAATTCATGAAAATAAAATCTGTGAAAATAAATTTAATACGGTCCAAAATGGCCGAAAAGTATAAAACCACAAAAATTAAAGCCACAAAATTGAATCGCAAAAATTTTGGGCCACGAAAACTTCTCATTATACAGTACACCATGTAGTATATACAGTTTGTGTGAACCAGTATAAAATTATATTCTTGTCAATGATCATTAGACCATACAAGCATAAGAACTACAGTATAATGAACAAATTCAAATGCATATTTATGATGATAGCATATCTTACATACCATACACTATGATTATAATACAACTGATATTAGGTGACTCACCATTTTTAATTGATTAGATCAAGTGACTTGAGCTGCTACAACAATAACTGATTCACCAAAGCAGTGCAAACTTTGAATTAGCTTGTTCCATCCCTCATGATGGAAAAGGGGTTTAGCATCTAGCTACCTCAATAAATCTATAAATATTATTAATAATACAAAATAAAACAAATCTTATGCACTCAGAGCCAAAATCACACACACAATAGTAAAAAGACTATATTACACATGCATTAATTATTAATCAATAATATTTACTGTTTTCTGCTTGTTTATATTCTCCTCTTTTTTAATTTTCGGAGCTCTTTTAGTTTTTGCTTTTCAGTTCTCACTACTTGAAATGACGAAACTCCACCCACAAGCTAGGCAAACCACACCTATTTTATTTTCAAGTTTTTAACCCTCAATATGGCTGCTCATTTAAAGGGTAAATTAAATTAATTTTAAAATAAATTTATGTATCATTATTTTAAGAGTTTCTTATTATAGGTAATAACTAATTCTTTGTTACCTTGTTTGTTGTTGATCAACTGAGAAATAATATACAATTGGAACAATGACTGGTAAGCAATAATTAGTAATTTTTACATGGGGGCGGTTAAAAATGATGGGTTACATGCTTGTTACATCATACAATCATCAATGGTCAATTTATTACTGAAGATCATGTACACAATGAATTTAGATATTGTAATTTTTGACACAATTTCTTTACACATACATGTACAGTCAAACCTGTCTATTCTGGACACCTTGGGACCAAATAAAACTGTCCTTATTATAGAGGTGTCCTTATTTCAGAGGTTCATTAATACACATTTATATTGTATTGGGACTGATACTACCTGTCCTCATATAGGGGTGTCTTTATTTTAGAGTGTCCACAATAGCAGGTTTCACTGTACATGTGTACATGTAATACACATGCATAATTATACTGTTTATTCCTTTCCATTTTTTTATGTTTTTTTTTCATTTTACATTGTTAGTTGGAGGCTAAAAGAAAAGCTGTTGTTGAGGAGATATTGTTCAAAGCTAAACAAGACAAGAGATAGCAGCTGCTTCAGGAGAGAGCGAGACAGAATTACGAGAAACACTATCAGATCTGTCGCTCTATCATACTCCAAATGGTTGACCTAAGCACAAAGATTGGAGAATATAGGGAACTCACCCAATGGTATGTACACGTACATGGAGAACCAAATAGAAGCTGTTATACATGTGTACATGTACATGCATACATGTACATGGTAGATGTACATGTAGCTATATGATAATTATACGTGTACATGTACATGTACATGTTTAAGTCTTTTTCTATTTTACATTTCCCCCTCTATCTCACCCACTAGTGCTATACTAGTTAAGATGATACGTGATTGGAAACTATTGTTTCTATTCAATAAACCACTTTATGAGGACAGTGGTCTTGTAACTGCTACTGAAGAGGAAGAAGGAGAGAAAGGGGAAGGAGAGAGAGAGAAAGGAGGAGAGGGAGAGAGCATCAGTCTCCAGTCTACTAGTACAGTTGATGATAAAAATGCGGAAGCTGATGATATACTTGATGATGCTGATTTACAAGAATATCTAGTAATTTTACATGTACATGTACATCCATTTTACTCATACATGTACATGTACATGTACAGTACATTGATTTACATGTACATTGTATGTGTACATGTACATGTGAATCATTGTTTCCCACAAAGCATGCTAAGTGAGCTAAACAGCATGAGCTTCATGAGCTGACAAGCACTACAATACAGTACATGGCATTTGGAGCAACTTTAAAAATTCATAAAAAATCCAAACTTCATTGGAATCAGTTCAAACTTTCCATGCAGCATAAGAACATGTATATGTATCAGAAAAAATTATAAAAATGAAGAATTCTCTCCTAGCCATTTTTGATGAAATTTGGCCTGACACCAAGGCTATAGCCTTGGGTCATTTGCCCGATTTCTGAGCAACTTTAAAAATTCATAAAAAATCCAAACTTCATTGGAATCAGTTCAAACTTTCTACGCAGTATAAGAACATGTATATGTATTAGAAAAAATTATTAAAATGAAAAATTCTCTCCTTGTGATTTTTCTCAATATACCCTGTACTATAGTACAGGTTCTATGGCCCAAATTTTGAGTAACTTGACAACTGATTGACTGAAATTACACATGTAAATGTATCTTTTGAATATTAAAATTATATTATTTATTTTCATACAGCAAGTAACTAACGAGTGGCCCAGTGACAGTACTGAGTGTCCTCATCCTCCTAATATGGTGTTGTCTCATATTGTGTATCGACTCATTGAACTAGTCAAACCACCTCAAGTAAGAAATACATGTATTACATGTACATGTACATGTACAGTACAATGGTATCTCATGTACTGTACATTGTTTTTCATCATGTTTTTTTCTCTTTCTTTAGCCTCCTTCCAATCCACCGTCACTGCCTAAGTTTTATCTAAGAGGATCATTCGTTGGTCTTCCATTCACTAGAAAAACTTCATCACTTTAATACATNCATGAAAGTATGACTATACATACATATGTACATGTATGTGTACATGTA